TCAAAAGTTGTTCATTACCTGCAGTACTTCGAGTTGAATTTTCATTTAGGCTTCTCTTCATTTTCTTCAGTATCAAAGTCTATAATTTTTTCTTTAGCATTCCAAATTTACAAAATTAAGCTGGTTGACTAAACCTTCAAAGAAAGAAACTTGCAATTTATATCAACAACAAAATCAAATTTTCAGCCCACTACAGAAATTATGATTCAAAACTATTTTCAAACCTGACAATGAAAACACTTTAGGAATCCTTTGCTTTCTGAGTAAGAATTTACAACATAACTCATTTTCCCAGCTGTTTAAAATATTTTTCCTTTTTCTTTAATTTGTCATATATAAGATTTTTAAATACAATCAATGTGCATTATAACAGTTTACATTAAAAGTCAATCAAGTTTATCTAAAATGTTAACCTAGCTGCATAGCACATTTGACATTACTGTCCACATGACAATGGAAAACAAATGGACTTACAGTACCTTTTGGCCATTTGGAATCTGAGAGTGTCATATACCTACCCTTTTAAATCAAAAGCATCTGAAAAAAATGTTTCCAAAGCATGCAGTTTAGATTTTCCATATTATCTCACCATTTTTCTTTTACTATAAACATCATATTGACTAAAAAAGGGAGAGGGGAATAACATGTATCTAACAAAATATTCACTATAAAAAGGACTAATGAAAAGAAGTGGCTCCTTTCCCCATTTTTACATTCTTCTAAACAATGATGCCATGAAGACAAATCATTAAAAAGCATTACACTGGTTTTTTTTTAATAAGAAGGCCTGAGTTGATAGAGAAGGAATAGTCACAAAAATTCTAAAAATGCCTGAGGGTGCAAGAAGTACGGAAAGCTCCTTTAATACGTTTACAATAATTTAGCTCTGCTCAAAATAAATTAAGGTTGAGGTGACTATAACCTTGCTCCCTAAATCTATGTGGATTTTCACACAGTCTATGGACTTTATTTCAGAATCAATAATTTACTATAAGAATTTGAACCAGATCTATAAAGAGGGACATGGACTATAGTACTGGTAAACTTACAGGAAGAAAAAAATAGAGTATTGAACTAGTCATATGAAAATATGCTCCGTGACCAACTCTAAGATGCTGCACAGAGCTACTGTGGCCAGTAATCTGTGACAACAAAGACTAAATACTCGCTTGATATCCAGAATAATCATAAACTTCCATTCATTTTGCCTAATACATTTCAATCCCAATGTAATCCAACAAACACTTGCCCACTGCTTTAAAAAAGCAAAATCCAAACCTAAATGTGTACATTTCTGCTCCACAGTCACCACCCAATAAGACAAGCAGAGATGAACACAACTAAATGCAATTCAAACTGAGATAAATATAAATTTCCAAATATCGCTCATATAAAAATCGGGAAACAATGAGGTCAGGGGTTCCTCTGCTTTCTTTCCAGATCTTAGGTTTGCAGCCGGGTTCAGCAGGCCCCTTAGAACATATTCCTGGTGCCATTCTAGGAATCAAAATAAAGGTTATACCCGGGTATGGTGGCGCACGCTTGTTATCCCAGCACTCGGGAGGCTGAGGTAGGAGAATGGTTGTTAGTTCGAGACCAGCCTGGGCTACAAAGTGAGCTCAAGGCCAGTCTGAACTACATAGCAATACCTGTCTCAAAAAGGCAAAAAAAAAATTGAAAAATTAAAACATAAAGGTTATGCCGTTGTTTCTTAACACAGAAACATCAATGCAACTCGCACCCTAAACCTGAAGAGACGTATGAGGGCTGTTGTGTTTCTGAATATCACTCAAACGACCCAAGAAAACCCATTTTTGAAAGCCAAATCCTCCTGCACCACTCAGCCGGCGGGCGGGCGGAGACCTCCCAACGGCCCCCACCCACCCCGGCCTCTTACTGCGCCCGGGAGGCTCAGTGACCGGGCCGCCCTGACGTGCAGAGTCTGCGCCAACGCCCTCGCAAATACACATCGCCCCGCGGACCACTGCCCCTGATGGAGGCCAAGAAGGAACTGTTTCGGCCCCTCAAGGACCGGAAGGGGAGAAACGTCAGCCAGAGTTTATGTTCTCTGCCAAGACCCTCCCAGCCCACCCAAGAACTGGGAGCAACTAGGTTTGGCAAATTGTTTTTCCCTTCTTGACACGCCCCCACACACACACTCGCGCCAACATGACAGACAGTTTTAACCCTTGCGTTCGCTCGCCTCCACTAACCGTCATCCGGAGAAGCCAGTCAGCGACAACGGACCTCTCGGTCTCCGAAAAAGCGCGGGAAGTCAAGCTGTGCGCAGGCGCACATCCAACTCGCGCAGGCGCACTCTGCGTGAGCCTCTGTGCGCAGGCGCACGGGCTGCAGGTGCACGAGCCTCAGAGGCGCGAGCCGCAGGCACGAGGGAACGTGTAGTAATGTGGGCCTAGTTTCGCAGGACGGCTAGAAAGGCGTTAGCATCCCTCTGTCAGGAAGGAGAAAGTTAAAATACCTCCTTTGCGTTCTTACACTGTGAATTATGTGGGCCAGACAAGGCCTTGTCTTTTTAGCGTTTTGACCAGAGAGAAAAAAAGCCTGCTGTGCTCACCTGAGCTGCAGGCAGATCTCCAGCCCAGCCTTCCTGTGCGCTGGCTGCGTCGGAAGAGTGTGGCTCTCCCCTTCCTGCACCCCATGGCCATTTCTTAGGCTCTGGACATGTCTTTCTACAGTGTGCGCAGCATCCTGAAGAATCCATGGCCCACAGGCCTGAAAACCAAGGCATGAGGATGTTGCTTGGTCTGGCAGCATTTCTGAAACAGATTAGTCAGGCAGAGGCAGGGCGAGTGCTGCCAGAGCTCAGGAGCAAAAGCACAGGAACCATAAAGAAGTTCTACAAAGGAAGCAGAATGGTGTAAAGCCCCCAAGCTCTGAACTCCAAACTTCCCACCTATGAGTTCTTGTCCAGGTGACTTGGAGTAATTTATTCCCTATACATTTCCTTCCTCAGTAAAATAAAAGTAGCAATACAGAATTGCCTCAAAAATATTAAAAGAAAATGAACAGTCCAAACACATAGTAAGTGTTCAATAAATGCTACCTCTCCTCTCATAACAGTATTTGCCATTTATTGTATACTTACTATATAGGCCAGGTGTCATAATTCTATACCGAGTTCAAAAATTATGTTCTGTTGTTATGCTATCTTCAGGCTACTGGAAGACCAGGATACATGAATGAGACAGAGATCTCAGAAGGAAAGGTTATTAGTAAATATCTAAGACTGTGAGATGACAATGCATATTAGTAGTTTCCTTGAAAATTAGGTTAAATAAAGAAGAGTGTTAAGAGATACAATTAAAGGCAGACTGAGATCAAATAATAGCAGATTAAGGAATAATCTTTGAAGGAATGGAGTCATCTTTTAAATTTGAAAAGGAGACTTCAAACAACACAGTGTCTGAAAAGACTTGTTATTCATCCTGGTTTCAGGTAGACTTACCCAAAATGGAATAAACAGGAAACATATTTCAGCCTGACATTGACATACATCTACACATACATACATACATACATATGTACAACAACTGCTCCTTTCCCCAAAAAAGAACAATGGGTTTTTCTTTGAGAAAACAACAACAAAATGCCATATTAGGACCATTATGGCAAATATCTTGAGCTGCATCTTTAAGGAATGCAGTCATGAACAATAGGAAGCCTTTGGTAACGTTATAGACTTTTCTATCCTTATCTCGCTCTTGAACAGAAAGCCTTCCTTATCACCTAATCATACTATTTAGAAAACAATCCACCTTAAATTTATCTCCTACTAAATTTCTAGCATTAGCCTACTGAATAGCCATAACTATGAAGTAAAAATTTACTCTTTTTATTTTACACTACATTGTTTTATTAATAAGTCAGGCACCTTCACCTGTACAAAACACTTGTAAGTGCTGAAGGTTATCACACTTACACGTATTTCAAATATTAAATTTTCAATATTGAGACAGTGACAACTAGACAGGGTTTCATCTTGTATACTACTAGTACTCTGCACTCTCAGAAAAGAACTAAATTAATACAACTGTGTGCGAAAGTCAAGTATGCTCAAAACTCAAGTGTGCTTTGGGAAACAGGGAGTTAAAAATCTTTTGGAAGTTAACTTGGTATAAGAGTATGAAAAGCCTCTGTTGCTCTAGTTCTAAGGAAATGCTCTCCTCTTTCTAATAAAGCTTTTGGCAGAAGACAAACTCTGTACACAATAAACAAGGTAAGTATAGGAAATAATTACTGAAATTCATTAACTCTCCAATAAGTTATTCATTTGGACATTTAAGAGAAACTTTTTGAATGTGAAATGTGCTTCAAAATGCTGACCTGTTAAAATTCCATAAGACAAACTTCAAAATGCAAGTTATTTGGGCCAGCCACAAGTAAATAACTGAAGCAGCATTTCCAGAGAGACTAGGGCAAAGGACAGAGCAAACTACAAATCAGCAGGAGAGAAACAAAACACAGAGTGTGTTAATAAGTCACCATAGTTACTGCTCTTAAAGTAGCAATATAGCTGTCTTCCTTTTACCTTTATGTGTGTTTTCATCATCTCTACACTGTCTGAAATGTTCAGTGTATTCTGATGTGGGTAAAAAATCAAAAGCTACAAGGTCTCTGTCTCAAGTTAGACCAGGAATTTTAATGTGCAAACTTAGATTTTGTTATTTTCCTTTCTGTGTCTCTGCAGTATAATATCTTAAAGGAAAAGTATAGAAATTGGTTTATTAAATATTATTAAGCATCCATATTGTGTGTTTCCATTGTGTACTTTGCTTGTCTGCTTGCTTCCTGAGCCCTCCAGTGACTCTGAATTCTGAAAGAGCAAAATTAGAACTTCAGAGGAAACCAAACATAACCAAGAGGCACCTTGTTGTCCTGTGAAAAACACTGGACTTAATCATCAACATGAGCCTCAAGCCTACTTTTCTCTTATATAGCTGTGAAAACTTAGTCAGGTTACTTAACCTCTCTTTACTTCTATAATGCATCAATGCCTAACCCATCCTGTTTTATAACATGAATATATAAATACACTGGGTCAATGTATGTGGAAGAACATTACAAATGAACTACCCTGAAATTGTAATCAATTACTCTCTTTGTACCCCTATCAAACAGTCCAGCATTACTAATATATAGTATTTCCAGCACTTGAACATACTGACTTTCTGGGTGATTGAGCATGAAATCAAATCAGATTTGGCTCAGAGTCATTTTCCAAAGATATGTAATCACTTTAGTATTCTGGATTATTTCTCCTAATAAGGCCCCTGTTTGAATACATTCTAGTGGAGCGTCCCTGTGGCAGCTCATGAGGCTGTGTCTACACTAACTCACATGATGTGTTAATGTATATAATATGTCACAAGACATTTTTCAGGAATTACAGAGACTTTCATGCATTACTAACGCTTGGTTTTGCTTTGGCATTTAGGCAAGATTCCTCGGATGTTGACACAAAATTACCAAAAAGTTCATGAGAAACACAAGATGTATCAAAGTAGCTTTTTAAGTCCTAGTGATCACTGATTTAGTCTTTGTGTCTCTGATAGTGAAAAGGCATTGTGAAAGAGGAGGGTCTGGCTGAAGAAATCTGTATCTGCCTTTGGCTCCTTAGAGATGGGACTCAAATGCCCATCTCAGATCATGAAAACTCCCTGAGCTCATCTCAGAAAATAAATACTTGTAAATGTCAGTGGAGATGAGATAGATACTTTTTTACATTTTGGGGATTGTAAATGTATAAACTATTTTATTATCATAAATAATCATAAAATCCTCATGGATAACATTTTAGCTAAAGGGAAAACAATTTCAGTATTAGTAGGATGTGCTAATTTATTGTTGTACTTAGATCTACTGACCATCTGAGGGAGTTAGACGTTAACAGCTGTATCTCTAGCTGATCTTTGCATATTTTAACCCAAATATGGTAAAGGGCAGGGCTACAGAAGTCAGTGTCCACATAATAAACAAGGCTCAGAACTTCTAATAGAAAGTTATGAAAAGACTTCACTTAAGGAAACTCAGTAACTTGCAGTTTGGTTAAATTCTTACTTAGATTTAAATTCCTAAACTTTTCTTAGGAAATTAAGCTTCCTTTGATCTTCTCTCTTCTGAATTGCAGAAAGCAGACAAACACTCCTGGTAAAATGACCGGAAAACCTATTAAAAAGATTGCTATCTTTGGAGGAACTCACGGTAATGAGCTAACAGGAGTATTTCTAGTTAAACACTGGCTACAGGATGGCGCTGAAATTCAGAGAACAGGACTGGAAGTAAAACCGTTTATTACCAACCCAAGAGCAGTGAAGAAGTGTATGAGATATATTGACTGTGACCTGAATCGTGTTTTTGACCTTGAAAATCTTGGGTAAGACAACTTTTTATATTATGTGTGTGCTTGTGTGTATGAGAAGTCATAGGAGTGAGAGAAAGAACACATATGTGTATATGATAAATAGCCATGTTCACACATATAATGGCTCTAAGAACACTTTCACTTTTAATCATGTTTAATCATAATTGTGAATTATGTAGTTACAAAACTGGGTATTCACATGGTCTTTTATAAACTGACATACTACATTTCTCTTAATTGATTTGTCTTTTTAAATGTATTCTAAACAGAGATAATAAAGGTTTTTAAGTCTTATCTTTAAAAATGCAGATTAAATAATTTTTATATTAAATTAGTGTTTGGCCACTGTGCTTGCATACATATGTGTTCGCTTTCTAGGAAATTCACTACTATGTTTTCATTTGACTATGGTTAAGATCATACATAAAGTTCTAGCTGAGAAAAATGTGATGTTTCCATTAATATCTGTTGAATGAAAGAGTCAATAAGTACCCATTGCTAGAAAACATCAGACCACTCTGTGTGGTAATGGTGATGACACTATTACCATAAATAAGAATAATGAAAGCTAAAGACACTTCCCTTGAACTTTCTGACTTTGAACTGCAGCTGATTTATAATATAATGTGTATAATCACAATATTCTGGGTGGGCCCTTACTAATCATTTTTGCCCTTGTTTATATCATAATACTGACCACAGTAAATGCCTCTAAGTTTATCTTTTACCACTTCTATCTTTTACCTAAAATTATTATCAAACATCTGTTCTTCTCACTGTACCAGGTACTATGGGAATACAAAGCTGTGTACAAGATGCCTTTTACCTTCAATGAGTTGGTAGCCCACTGGCTAAGACACTCACAGAAACATCCAACTGTGCATCTTTATGTATTTGTTTTCTGATAAATGCTAATTTGAGTTAGAAAATTCCTTAGATTTGGTCTCATCCCAGAACAAAAAACAAAAATGAATACTTCTTTTAATTCAGATCTGCTCACTTTCTGGAATAGATGTTTTCCAAGACAATTTAAAATAGTCATACTTATATATCAAATAATAATTTTACTAGCATAAATTTTAATTTATGAGATGCTTTATCTTTTGGTGGAGGTTATGTATCAACACAACTAACATTTATGAATTTAAAATAGCTATTACTAACTTGTATATTGCAAGTAGGAACTTGTTAAAGAATAACTCTTTTAATCGTCATATTAACTTCCTAAATAAATTCATCTTGTGCTTCCTACACTGAACAATATTCAGAGGCTAGACAGTTCTCTCTCAAGATAGTTATGAAAATTCATAAGAGATAAACTAATTAATTTCCCCATTCTTCCCCTAAATGTATTCCTTTCCTGTATTTTTTTTACACAGGGTCTCACTATGTAGCGCAGGCTGGCCTCAAACTCATGATGATCCTCCTGCCTCAGCCTCCCAAGTGCTGGGATTAGAGGTGTGCGCCACCACATCTGGTCCTTTCCTGTATTCTTGATCTTTACCCACCAGAGTCCTTCTGGAAATCATCTTACCCACCAGAGTCCTTCTGGAAATCATCTTAGAACCTCACCATGTCACCTTCATCCCCCCATGTCTAGTGGGTCACTATGTCTTCCCAATACTTGCAATAATTTTGCAAGTTCAGTCTTTCTCCCCCTGTTCACTGCCTTAGTTTATTTCTTCTATTTACTTCTACACCCAGTCTTATTACGGTCCTTCCTGCCATAGTTTCTGTATATGGCAACCATAGGGCTCATCCTAACATGCAAATCATATGGCTTTGTCCTGCTGAAAATTCTTTTTAAATCTCTCTCCAGAATAAATCTTAGCAACTTAGTACAGCTGATAGTGCCTTTCAGGCCCTTGCCCTGGCTATTCTTTCTGCCTCATCGCCTGGGATCTTCCAATGAGACTTGGCCTCCAGGCACAGGAACTCAACATCCATTATTTTTCACCACTCCAAACCTTGATTTTGAGCAGCTAGGTGGGTAGTGGTGCCATTACCCAAAGACGGCAGAATGATGTAGAAAGAGAGAGAACTAGGGGCACCCTCATATTTCATGAATTAACTTGTAAAATATATATAAATAGATATTTGGTTGCATATAATAGAAAAGAAACCTAAGAATAAATAACAGTTTCTTGTTCATAAGTAGTAAGGTAGACAATCCAGGATGGTGCAGGGCCTTCATAATATTGTCAGTGCCACAGGTGCCTTCTGTCCCCCCACCATGCTCTTCTTACATGAACCTTTTTGTCTTCATGGTTTTTGCTTCATATTTACAAAATGGCTGCTCCACCTTCTTGGTTGTGTTCCAGGAAGGAAAAACTTAGGTACAAACTGCAGGGCTCTTGAAGATACTGTGCTTATATTGCTTGGTCAGTTTTTCACACCTATATCCTCTAGTCTGAGCAACTACTTCAAAGATAACAATATACAATGTATTAACCATTCTTACCCTCTTATTGTTTTGAAATTTTGTATCATTGTTTTTATTTTTTGTTCTCTTTAAAATTTTAAAAAATAGCCAGGGAATAGAAGTAGGTGCTGTTATAGGAAAATACATTTGTGTGGCTTAATGAAGGAAAATAAATTAAACCATTGTGAGGTAGAGAAAAAAAGAAATGTATCCTAACCATTGCCGGAAGTGAGAAGAGGATGAACAGAGACTCATTTTACAGCAACAAGCAGAAACACCGAAACGACACCCAGGATTTGGAGGCAGATTTATTTATGTCAACGGGCACTGATCCAGATCATTCCCAGAATATCACGCCCTGGTCTCTGGTGGTCTAGGGCTTATATGAGATAAGCAAGCAGGAAGTACAGAGGCAGAATGGCTTGTCAACTGGGGACTGCTTTGTACAATGTGCACCATAGTGACCAGCCATTTCTAAGAGATGGAACAACTGGAACTGGAACAGGAACAAACTGAAATATAATGGGGGGGGGGGCATTTTCTGCTACAATTTGAGAATACAATAAAAACTATTAATCCATGAGCACCGCCCCCCCGAAAAAAATACATGTATGTTTGTACTACAACATTTTGTATTTTTGGAAGATTTATAGATGCTCATCTATAAACCTTGTCCTTCGAGCACTGATAGCTCCTACCTCTCAAATAAATCCTAATTGAGATGATAGGAGTACTTAAGTTTGACTGTTTTTGTGGAGTAGAATTGGCTACAGTGAATGCGGCAAGGTTCCCTTTATGGCCTAGCCCAGTGGTGGCGAGTGCGTGGCTCATGTGTTATTGTGTTTTTCTTTTTAAGGCAAAAGATGTTAATGCGTGAGTTGATTTTTTTCTAATAAAGCCTCAGCATTTAGGTTTAATTGCAATGTTGGCACATTGCAATAAATAAGTGAATTTGGGTTGCAGTTTGGCACTTGGTCTCTAAAAGATTCATTTGCACTGGCCTATCCCTATAATAAGTAGCAAGTGTGCTGTAACTACTAAGAAACTGCAAAATTAATGGGTAAATTTTGTTCCAGGTTGAAGTCAAATGATAAATTTTGTTTGAAATATTCCATCTAGGGGCTGGGGATTTAGCTCAGCAGCGCAGCACCTGCCTGGCAAGCACAAGGTCGTGAGTTCAATTCCCGGTACAGGAAAAAATATATATATATTCCATCTATGACAAGTAACGTAGGACAATTTATTTTATACACATGCCAGTGCAACATTTGTTATATAGAATCAAATGGAAGAAATGTATGATTTTTCTCTTACAAAGGCTTCAGACAAGTTTTAGCTTTCCTCACAAATTTTTCATATGAAAGGTTGGGAAACTGTTTCTTTGTACACTGTATTCTTGTTGTATATTTATATTATCTTAGTCTCAGAACTTACTAATTTTTTTGTCTCTGCTAATAACAGCAAGAAGATATCAGAGGATTTGCCATACGAAGTAAGAAGGGCTCAAGAGATAAATCATTTATTTGGTCCAAAAGATAGCAAAGGTTCCTATGACATTATTTTTGACCTTCACAATACTACTTCTAACATGGGGTGCACTCTTATTCTTGAAGATTCCAAGAATGACTTTTTAATTCAGATGTTTCATTATATTAAGGTAACTTCAATGTTATTAATTTATACATTAGCATAGGATCTGTACTTTTAAGCCAGTTACAGATATGAAACAATGGGGAAAAGTGTAAGGAAAGAACATCTAAGAGAAATGGAATCTATTCCAAAGCCAGATCAAGAAGTCAACTAGGGGGGCTGTACCAAAATGCAGAGGTATTCATAACAGGCAGGAGAAAGGGAGGGAAAATATGTAAAATGATAAGTACAATAAATAAAAAATAAACACTTGTGAATCTTTGTGTTTATAAAGTTATAAATTTTACCCTAGTAGCCAACAAATCCTTAGCTATTTGGTAATACCAAATGAAATTAATGTCAAAAATGTAAATGATACAGTTAAAGTATCTCAATTTAGGGGATTAGGAAGCTCAAGAAATTGTTATTTGACCTTGTTGGTAAAAAGATTGGGTCCCTTTAGTCCTGCCTTTGTTGCTATTTGATTCAGATAGCCCAACACACATTCATACTTCAAATAGATAAGTATTTTAAGGCTCAGAAATCTGTAAGATGAAAAATTTGGCAACCTAATGCTTATAGCTAGAGAATAATTGTTTTAAAAAAATAATAACCAAACAAAAACACAAATAGTGAAGTGTGGGTTAATTCTACATACTAGTCTTCCTGAGAGCTAGTATGACTGAGTGGGAAAAGTTTGACTCCTATAGCCAAGAGAACCTAAATTTAAACCCTGACTTTCTCACAAACTTTGGACAAGACACTCATCTCAAAACTTAGCTTCCTTCATTTTAAAAAATTGGAAAAATAATAATACTCCAAATGGCAACTAAAAACCTTCAATGAGATAAAGTCATTGAAATGTTTAACCGATTACCTAGCCTATGATAATACTTACCTATTATCTTTTTAATTGGTTTTTGACAGTAACTAGAGAATGGTTCTAGTGGGCGATCACAGTGCAACTGCTCTTTGCTGCTCACTGAAGAAAGGCTGAATACTTTGTTTGCCAGACAGCAACTTAGTTAGTAGTTGCCAAAACCAGGAAAACTGATTCAAATTCTCATTCAGAAGGAGAAGAAATCACCCAGCATCTTTAGAGAGCTGGATCACAGGGGTAGAAGCAGAATTCCATAAGAGAGTAATACTAAGCTAAATAAAAAGTCTAACCAATGATAAAAACAAAAACAAACAAAGTCATTCAGGAGGAAGATGTGTTTCATATTCTTTGGTCACGGTTTTGGAGCATGGTTTAATATACACTTGGCCCAGAAAGCTATATATCATTCAATTTTAAATGTAATCCATTTGTGTGTTCTCAAAGCTATAAAAATATTAAATTTTATAGCATGTTTCATAAAGCTGTCTGACTAATCTCAGTTGATAAAGTATAGCATATTCAAGGCATTGCTGACTCTGTAGTAAAAAAGAGAAAAAAAAGTATTATCTTTACATAATAAAAAAAGATGTTTTAAATTCTTTTCAGACTTCTTTGGCTCCATTACCCTGTTACATTTATCTTATTGAGCATCCTTCCCTCAAATATGCAACTACTCGCTCTATAGCCAAGTATCCTGTGGGTAAGTCATATTTGCTGTTATTGTAAATGAATAAAATATATTTTTGAAGAACATTTATAGCTATCTTGCCTATGATTAAGGTTTATAACTATAAGAAAATTCACCTCAGACAGACTCCATCCCTAATTTCCTCAGTTTCCCTAAGCAGCTATATGGTTTTACTCTTTTAATTTCCCTTTCTGTGATATTTCTCCCTGAAAATTGGTCTGACAGATTACTCTCACTCCCAAGACCCAAGTGAAATATCACCTTCTACAGATGTAGTGAAATATCTTCTGTACAGAATTAGCTACTCTAAAAATGTGTGCATTCAATAGATATCCATTGTGTGTCTACTATAACTCTCTGCTAGGTGCTGGGGATATAATAATGAACACAACACACTGTCTTTCCTCAAAAAGCTTAATATCTAATAAGAAGATAGACAAGTAACCAGGTAATTACTACACAGCGTGATAAGTGGTCACAGTGGGGGTAATTACATTCTCTTTCCTGAGAGATCTATTATAATAATTAATTATTTTCAAGCTACACTATAATTAAAATTGTTTGTACAATTTTAAATCTTTTTGATTAGATCTCAGAAGGTCTAACCAAGAGTAGTTTAAGAGCAACTTGATAAATAAAATTAAATTTTAAAAAAATTATTCTGATTATTCAAGTATTGATACTTTTGCTGCACAATTAAAAGAACTAATCAATTATAATTGGAGAAAGCTAATATTTAAATATAGGTACATAACTGGTAAAGCAAAGCCTCAATAATATGGAATAGGGCTAAGGGTATAGCTCAATGGTAACTTGCCTAGTATGAGAAGTCTTTGGTTCAACCTCCAGCACCATCAGATGATGATGATGATGATAATAATAATAATAATAAGAGATACAGATCATGTTTCTCTTTCACACTGAATAAAATGCTTCTAACCTTTTAAAAAATCAATCTTAGTCTATGATATTTACGGGCAATGATGTTCTTAGCTAGACCAAATAGTTATTCACATTTTTGGCCCATAAATATAGTCAAGTCTTTAAAAAAACATTTCAGTATGAGGGAGTATTAAGTGTTATAAATGATTAAAAACATCAATATATTTTCTTCCAACTTTCTATATTATTTGGAATACTTTTATTCATAAATCATTTGAAAACACTGAAAATTGAGATACATCCTTTCTGAATTGATGTTTTATATACACTAGCCTAATGCCCCTGCAAACTTGCTTTAACTACTAAACACTGATGAGGACTGCCTTTATGTTCTACTGTCAATGTGGCTGAAATGTGACAGGATCGTTCTAGGTGAACTTAATTCCAAAAAGAGACAGTGTGCTGTGGTCAGCCTCGTGATCACTGCCATCCTTTTCCTTTTCTCTTCTTCTCTTTCATACATGGGCTGGGGATATAGCTCAGGGGCAAGCACCTGCCTGGAAAGTGCAAGGTCCTGAGTTCAACTCCTGGTACCAAAAAAAACCAAAAAAGTAAAACATCTCTTTCATACACATGGGCAAGTGGTCAGACATAGTCCTTCCCTAACTTTCCCAGATAGGCTATGATGTCACTTGAAATTCAGCAGTTACCTTTTTGACCATTGCTCCTTCAGCTCCACTTCTGACAATGCCATAGCCACATCCAACAAATTTAAATATTCTACTCTCATAGGAAATTTTGTGACACAGTTAATTTTTCATTTTGTATACATGGCCACTCAACCTGTTTTTCTCAGGAAAATGTTAGCTTTAATAACTGGCTTTTCTGGGTGAAGCCCCCACTCCTACCAGTCCACAGCTTCTCCCTTTCCATATAGCACTTACCAACCACACCTTCCATCTCCCTCAAGAACAAGAATACTTTTGGCTTTAAGTAACACAAAAAGGCTTAAGCAGTAATACGGATCTGTCATTTTACATAACAGCTTAACAACATCATGAGAGACCAGGTTCTTTTTATCTTGCTGGTTTATCATCTTTAACATGTCATCAGCTGACCCCAAGTGCCACAAGATGTCCACTGTAGCTCCAAATATAGTATCCAGTATGAAAATACCTAATGAGAGAAAGAGGACTCTGAGGAATTCCTCTCCAAATCTTTCCTTCTGACCCCTTGGTCAGAACTGGGCCACGGATCCATTCTTCAGTCAGTCACTAGGGTCTGAAGATTACAGTACATGACTTAAACTATCCTATCTTTACTCTTGAACTGAAGAAAAATTCATTTACTTTGAAGATTGGATACCCAACCAAAGTTATGATTCTGTTAGAAGGGTGGAAGGTGGAGTGATTTGTGGTAAGCAAACAACATCTACAATACACACGGAGACACATCCATGAACACAATGTTTTGTACATTTGTACAAATCACTTATGTAAAGGCACACACCTTAGCCATACTTGTGAGGCGATATATTTAAATAAATGTCTATACATATGCACAAGAAAGCCAAGCACAACGAAAATTTTAAAAAGATAAGGAGACGTATAAATGTTCTCCTTTATATGTTACCCAAATTATGACTCACATATTTTCCTTGATGCTAAAAGATGCTACCTTTTAAGTAACTTTTAATAATGGGTTTTTAGATCTTGATATATTAAAATGCTTAATTCTGCGGAATTTTAAATACTTATATAAATATCACTATCTCTCTTCCTGTACTTAGGTATAGAAGTTGGCCCCCAACCCCAAGGTGTTCTGAGAGCTGATATTTTGGATCAAATGAGAAAAATGATTAAACATGCTCTTGATTTTATACATCATTTCAATGAAGGTAAGTAGTAGATGGGAGCTGTTTCTTTAATTGTGAGTATATACATGAATATGTGTAAAAACACATATTTACCATTTAACTCAGTGTGTGTGCATGTGTGTAAAACTTAAGCACTGAACACTGAAATAGCTACTGGACTTCAGATCATATTTGTCACATTCACAATCTTAGATGCTTTTTAAGACTTTTATTCACTTCAGGGCTTCCTCAATATCAAGAATAGATATATTCAAGAAATGCAGCTGCCAAATAAAGTTCCCAAATCAGCTCCTTATTTTCCTATTAATTTCTATTTTAAAGAGCAAAGGAAGACTAGGAAATAGAATGTTCAATAAACCTAAGAAAGCCACTCAGGAGGCTGAGGCAGGAAGATCATTGCAATTTTGAGATCAGCCTGGGTTACAAAGTGAGCTCAAGGCCAGCCTGAACTGCATAATGAGACCTTGTCTCAAAAAGACACACACACACACACACATACACACACACATAACCCTAAGAAAGATGTTCAATATCACAGGTAATCAGAGAAATGCAAATTGAAATGAGAAGCCATTTTCCTCCATTATATTGAGAAAATACTAAAATCTAATAATATTAAATGTCAGTAAATGTGTAGGAAAACAGGATAGTCTTACTCCCCACTAGTGAGCAAATAAATTTATAAAGACATTTTCAAGAATAATTTTATAGTATTTACTTCTCAAAATACACAAATCTTATGACCCAGCAATTCCATGTCTCAAAGAAACATACGCCTACCCAATATGTTGTATACAAGGGTGGTTACTGCAGTTTTGTTTATAACATCTAAACAATGGGAAGGGCCCAATTGTCCAGTTATAAGCAGTTAAATCAACTAATGAAGAAAAGAATCTTCAAAACATATTGTAACTAAAAGAAAGCAAATTTCACACCAAAATATACAGTATATAAATTTGCTTTAAAATAATAATAGTCACTTGCTAGAATACTTAAAACACACCAAAATAACAACAGTGATTACAGAAGAGGGCAAGAATAAACCAAGCTAATTTTGTTTTTATTGTATTCAACAAGAATAATATATTCATGTATTATTTATGTAGCTAACAATTAATTACATAGAAACTGATGGAAAAGTAGGCTATGTAACTGTATATACATGTGCTCACTTATTCAGTAAATCTAAAAGGTACTAAAAATTAGAGTCTATTAATTGTAAGAAAAGTTTATTTTAAATTTGAAAAAATACTTAAAATGAAATCCAAGAGAAATCCTATGGAAATAACGATTCCAGTAGGCAATTTCAAAATTGTTGAGAAATGAGTAATGATAGCAACAAGACTAGTGTGCAGTTCAATGTCAGTGGGGAGAGCAATTCCTCAGCCTCAGGTTGTGCACACTCCCGCAATAACAGGAACTTCTTTTGTACTTGGGAATCCTTTGATTCCAAAGTCATTAAACCAGAGAATCAGCTGGTTACTACCTTTGCCTGAGGACAGATTCTATACTGTCTATAAGAACTGGTGTTCGGAAAGTCAGAAAATACAAGAAATCCTTGACTAGTAAGTGTGAAACTACGATGTGGTAAGAAATAATACACCTAGTTACAAAGTCACAAATCCATGGAAACATAGTTTACAAGTCATGGTCCATGGATTCCTGCCACAAGAGCGGGGAATAGTATCTCCAGGATACCTCTTTTTATTTAATTTCTTGAGGGTTTTCATTTTTTCTTTTTTATTTTTCTTGTACATGTTTGCAGTTTATATGGTTTACATTTTCATCTTGGGGAATGGTTACATGTACATATATTACAGTGTATTTCTCGTTATTTTACCTTCTCCTATCCCCCCAGTTCCTCTATGCCATTTTTCATTCTTGTTGATATTCTTAATCTTAGCTCATGTTATAGCATATAACATTTACATTAATTGGGGCTATTAGGTTCCTGTACATTTATTTCCCATTCCCCTCCTCCTCACTCCTCACCCTTATTCCCTTGGACCACTTCCCTATTCCCAGAGATCCATCTTCTTGTCCCTTTCTATCCATCCTTTATCATATTCTTAGTTTGTACTTACCTCACTCAGATGAGAGACACCACATGGTATTTAAGCTTGTGTGTCCAGTTTATTTCACTCACTATTGTATTTTCTAGTTTATCCATTTTCCTACAAATGTCTCAAACTTGTCAATTTTTATAGCCAAGTAGTATTCTATTATATATATAAGTACCACATTTTCTTTATCTAATCATGTATTGGGTATACAGGCTGCATCCAGGGTTTAGCTACTGGGAATTGTGCTGCTATAAACATTGATATGCATGTTTCACTGTAGTATGATGACTTGAGCTCTTTGGGGAAGATATGTAGCAGTGGGGACAGCTGGGTCATATAGAATTTCTAATTTCAATTTTTTTTTTTTTTTTTGTCTTTTTGAGACAGGGTTTCACTATGCAGTTCAGTCTGGCCTTGAACTCACTTTGTACCCCAGGCTGGCCTCAAACTCACAGTGATCCTCCTGCCTCAGCCTCTTGAGTGCTGCCACTACAGGCATGTGCCACCATGCCTGGCCTCTAATTTCAATTCTTTGAGAAGTCCCATAGTGATTTTCATAATGGTTGTCTAGTACACCTCAACTCCCTGATCGATGCAAAGATTTTCCATCTTTGCATCGATTAGGGAGTTCTTCTCCACCCCACGAATCTGACTTGGCCATATGACTTGTTTTTGTGCCACAGAACAGCTTTGAAAAAAAACTTGCACATTAAAATTTACTCTTTTGCAGCTCTTAGAAATCATGTACAGGTATTGTGTGACTCAGCCCACACTAATGTGCTAGGTAATGAATGGCCATAAGATAGTCATGCAGCTAGGGCTGTCAAATGCCAGACAGGAGAGTGAGGCCATCTGACTCCAAACACAAGGGCAAGGCCATCAGAAAAGAGCATAGCTAATCCAGAGAAAATACCAAACACAGAATCATGAGCTAAATTAAGGGGTGGTTGCTTTAAGCTGCTAAATTCTGGGGTAATGCGCTATGTAGCAAAAACTAGCTGATCGTGATTATCCGGTCTCCTTCATCCTGTCTCTGCTCTAAAGGCAAAGGAAGTCTTCCCTTTGAGTTGCACATTGGACCCAAATTCATCCTTTTCTCTCAGAGATGGTCTGGTATATATGTAAACTATTCTTTTTCTATGTTTCTGGGTACTCTGTTGTTTGATGTTACCACATCTTTGGAAGTTGAACTCCACTGCTGCCAGACAGCCCGCGTCTCAAGGGCTCGCTGCTCAGGAGATGTTGGAGTGTTTAATGTACATACTTAGAAGGAAGAGCCACTGGATTGAAGCCACCTAACTTTCAGGAAGTCTTTCTGAAAATATATTGTCCTGAAAGTTAGAACTTGGAGGGTGCTCCAGGCTAAACTAATCCAGAACCTTCACTTGACAGAAATGAAAACAAGCCTCTAGAAGTCAAGCATCCTGCTCAGAATTATACAACTGGGGAAAAATAAAAAGATGACACAACTAGAACAGAGCCCAGGGCCCCTGAGTTATACTCATAAGCTCTTTTTCACTCACACTGTCCTTTTTAAATTCTGTTTTTCATTTCTGTCTCTCCATCAGTGTATTTGTGGAAAGTGTGGTATTAGGAATAATTCAAGAACATCTTCTGGCCTTGTGTTGTTTATGAACATCCTTAACTAAACTTGGTTTGTTCTCTTTATAGTTGTCTTCATTTCTGTTGTTCTTTTTCTTTCTTTAAAGTATCAACATTTTTTAGTTGCTCTTGCAATATATTCTTTCATTGTAGGAAAAGAATTTCCTCCATGCACTACTGAGGCCTATAAAATAATGGAGAAAGTTGATTTTCCCAGGAATGAAAATGGAGAAATTTCTGCTATTATTCATCCTAACCTGCAGGTAACTTTTGCTATTTCTTTAAAATATTGAAAATCATAATGTTCTACCACTGAGTTGAGTTTGATAGTTCATACAACACTTTACATACATTAGGTAATTTTGACATTCCCCAAAACACTGCAGTGTAGGGAAGTGTATTAACCAGCTTTCCGTTACTATAACAAAATATCTGAGGCAATTAACCTACAAAGAAAAAAGAGTTATTTAGCTCACAGTTATGGAGATTCCAGTCCAAGATCAGGTGATTGCCATCCAGTTGCTTTTTGCCTCTGGTGTGGACACTGGATGGCAGTGGTGAGAAGTTTGTGGTGGAGCAACTACTCACAGTAGCATCCAGAAAGCAGAGAGCAACTTCAGAGACTTGGATCCAAGATCCTCTTCAAAGGCACATTCTCAATGACCTAATGACTTCTCACAATGTCCCACCTCCTAAAGGTCCATAGCACCTTCCAGTAGTATCACAGGAGGACCAAATGTTTAGCACGTGGACCTTTGCATGACATCAGCCATATTCAAACTATAGCAGAAATATATTCAGATCTTTGCTCAATAACCTGTGATAGCTCTGGGGATATATCAGTTACCATGGTCTCTAGTCTCATGGAATTTATAGTCTAGACCAGTGTGAATTTATAGTCTAGATCAGTGGTGAACCTATGGTATGTGTGCCCAAGCAGGCACACAGAATCCTCTCTGTTGCCACATGAGCCAAGTACCCCAGCATCTGAGCGCTGGATAACAGTTGGTTTTTCTAAACTAAAACTGCAGTATTCGGGTTTAATTGTAGTGTTGGCACTTTGCAATAAAGAAGTGGGTTTGGGGTTGCAGTTTGGGCACTTAGTCTCAGAAAGATTCACTATTACTGGTCTAGATATACTAAAGTCTCAACAGCAGTCCAGAAATGTAGATAGCCAGATGATGTAACAGAATAATGACGTGGCAGAAAGGTGGTCAGACAAGGAGTCTCCAAAAAGTGAAAGTCCTACCCATGAGCAATGAGTAAGAATTATCATGTCTATTTTAATATAAGAAAGTGGAGGTTCAGAAATTTACAGCTGTCCTATAGCCACATAGGTATCAATGACAGATCCGGAACTGATATTCTTTGCAGCTAGCACATTGATGCCACCTCCCTGTGATCAACAGTTTGACTCAGGATGCCCTACCTCTAGTCCCAGATACACATGGTATATCTATAGCTGCGCTGTGGAGAGCCCATCCCATCTCCCTGCACCTCCTCCTTGCTTTTGCCCTCCTACACCCCACCTCTGTCCCACCAAGGAGCAATGGTGCTTGATGTGGCGTGGAGCTGGGCACTGAAAGAGGAGCTGCATTTCTGAATCCTCAGATTCCTAAGTGGCAAATTAAGTTTGGGGCTGGGCCTGAGGCTGTGCTGACAAGAGAAGCAGAACCTGGAGGGGAAAGACTGAAAGGAGGCTGAGGGTATGAGAGTCAATCACAGTCATTCATCACCAAATGTATCTGTTGCAGAGGCACCAGCCTCTCAAGCTCCTACCCTGAAGTGGCAACTTACAGGTTACAAGTGGCTTGGGTGCATGAAGATATTAATTACCAGGCATAGAGCATTTGATGGCACATCAAGAGGTCCCCAGTTCAAAATGTGTGCCCTCTACTCACTCCTAGTTTCGATCTTTTAAAAGAGCTCTGAATTTTAATTTCTTCTTTAGTAAACAATAGGGTAAACATTTTTTTCTGGAACCAGCAAATGATGACACATTTTTAGGGTGGCTCTTAATCCCGGTCTTAATTAGAATCACCTGAAGAGTCTATACAATGGCTGTTTAACAGATTCTACCTCAGGACAACTAAATCAGAACATGTGGGATGGCGCTCAGACCCAGTACAATCTCTTAGATTCCACAGAGGCTGCGAGCCAGCTTCTCACAGTCCTGGCCTGCTGGGTCATTGTTACCCCCTCTGGCTCTGCTTAGAGCTATGTCTGGCATTGTCAGTCATGCTTGGAGTTCCAGCCTGCCCCTGTACATATGCTGGAGCCATCTAGGGATGGGATCTGAGAATTGGGATTTTTTTAAAAATGCTCCTCTGGTATTTTTCCTATGGCCTGAGTTTGAGAAGCACTGATTTTGTAAGTTTATTTTGGGCTCCAGGAATTCAGGGAGAAAATTCCTGAGGTAATTCCAGTGAGCATCCCTGATGAAGGACCACCACCCTTAAAACAAAATCTAGACTGGAGACCAAGTCCCTGCTAATGCCTCTGGCTCCAGGGCCACTGGCCACTCTGCTTACTCCTGCACTGCACTGACACCGCTCCTCTTGCTGTTTCTCAAACTCTCTAGGTTTGTTCCAGCCCAGGGAGTTTGCCTTTGTTTTCACTGTGACTCACTTCTCACCTTCCTAGTTCCAGCTGCAGGGCCATCACCTGAGACAGCTATCTCTGATCCCTCCATCTAATCAGAACCCTTTACTACCCTCTGCTATATTTTCCTGTTTATTTCTTCTATAGCACTTGCACAGTTTGAAATGAGCTGATTTATATATTGCTGACTTCATCAGTGTGGGAGCTCCACGAGGGACCTTGCCTATCTTGAAACTCAGGGCTCAGAAAAGGCTTAATTGTTATTCAAAAATACTGAGATAATCAACCAACCAATCCCTCTTATAGAATACCAAACCACTCCTTTTTGTCTATCAATGTCAAACTATATTTCCTTAACTTCCAGGACCTACTACTAACCTTGTTGGTTACTAATCTCATTCATCTCACAAATCAGCCTCCCCAAGATTAATTTTATATTCCTAAAATTTTTTAAAAACCCCAGTGTTTTAGCCTATTATGACATCATCAGTTTGACCTGGGTTCCTTACACTTGATATTTTTGTCATGTTGTGCTTTCTTCCTTTCTCTCTCCCAGTCTTCATCTTTCCCTTAAAATGTTGCCTAAGGCTCTTTCTTCTGGTTTTCACCTGGATCCCATTAAACCATAAAGCAGGATTTACTCCACAAGTGTGTATTTGTGGGCAGGATGCTTTATTAAGTTTCGAGTCTGAGTGACTATTAGAGTCATTAAACAAGGATTTGAAATGGAACAGTGGTTTTCGAGCATGATTACCCAGGTCAATTGAGATCAGGTTATCTCAGAGTGGACTCTTGGCACTATTATTTTTTTAAAAGCTTTCTAAGTAATGTGTGGTCAGGGTTGAAAGCCCCACTCTAGGTGGCCTACCACACCTCCTCTTCTCTGAGGTCTGAGAATGTATAGGGTTCTCGTAATGGGAATGGACAGCTTAGATTTTATAATCTTCACTCCTCCTTTTCCCTTTGCCTTTTCCAGCTGTAAATCTCTCCCAAGAGCCTTTTCTTCCTCCTTCACTTGTTATTATTTATTAATCCATTCAGGGTTTAGATACTGGAATTCTGAAGAGAGTCAGGGGACGATGGCAGGAACCTCCCAGAGAAATGGGTTGCAAATTTCACTCTAATTTATTTGGTGTTGATCACATCAAACTCCTGGGTGACACTGATGCTGCTGGGAAATGTTAGAAATTCAGGATCTCAGGCTGCACCTGACCTATAGAATGAGAATCTGCATTTTCACAAAATCCCCAAATGACTTGCAAGCACACCCACCTTGAAGAAGAACTACTCTAGAGATTCTGTGATGTGACAGTGTTGGTGTCCAAAGGCTCAAAGGGCCACGCTGCTGAAGTGGAACCTTTGAGATAGCACAGTTGTTGTCTCAGTGTGAGCACATTAAGATTTCAAACACATCTGCCTCATCTTAGACTTTCCCCAAGCCCACCCACCTTCTCTCTCTAATTCCAATTGCAATGGAATTCCTTGTATGAAAGTACATCATGGCTCATTGCTACATCCCCAGCAGTACACTGTCTTGGACACAGAAGGTTCTGAATGGATATTTCCTAAATTTTACTGAACAAAATTTCACTTCCACTGGCAAGAAGTAAAATATGCAATTAGGTCAACATGAATTTAGTTTTGCCTTTTAATATTTTTTCCCCTTTTATAAAAGATCTCTTTATTTCCTACGATCTTTTATTTTATTCTTCATTTAACCACATGATATTTAAGTTTGTGTGTCTGATTTATTTCACTTAACATTAGAATCTCAAAGTACATCCATTTTCCTACAAATGACTCAAGTCATCCTTCTTTATGGCAGAGTAGTACTCCACTGTGTATAAATACCATGTCGCCTTTTAATATTATAAATCTCTTTGGCAACGTTCAAGGCAAACTTGGTATTGAAGCAAACTTAAATTATATGTGAGGACTCTTAAAAATTAAAAGCAAAATTCTTAACAGAATTAGTGACACAATCTCAGTGTGGTCATGTCACTCATGTCTCTCAGTACAACCTTCCACTATCTCTTTTAATGCTATGTGTTAATCCCTTAGGGTCTGATGTGACATTTTTTAAAGCAGGAGAAAAATCAAATGTAATTTTTTTTATTTTAACTGTCTCTTGAGAGGATCAAGACTGGAAACCATTACACCCTGGGGACCCTGTGTTTGTGACTCTTGATGGAAAGACTATTCCGTTGGGCGGAGACTGCACCGTGTACCCAGTGTTTGTGAACGAGGCCGCGTATTATGAAAAGAAAGAAGCTTTCGCCAAGACAACTAAACTAACACTCAGTGCAAAAAGCATTCGCTCCTCTTTCCACTAGAAATCACTGCTAGTGCAACAATTATTATAGGGTATCTTGAAAAGCTCTGCAAGTCTGTTCCTCCACCCCCACGCCTGACTCAGTAGGCACCCAGACCAGTTTCTTTAAAGAGAGAATAAATGACTGAATCTCTTTGAAAGTATCATACGCGGGGCTGGGAATTTAGCTCAGTGGCACAGCGCCTGCCTGCCAAGCGTGAGGTCATGAGTTCAATTCCTGGTACCGGAAGAAAAACAAAACAAAACAAAACAAAAAAAAACGAAAAGTATCATGCTTTATGTATGTAGTTTACTCAGAAAATGTGCTTCCTGTTTCTATATAGCTTTTATATATGACACTATGATAGTTTAACATTCTAAATAGATTTCACACTCAACATATATATATTACATGCAAAGTTTTTGACTTGACATCAAATGAAATGTATATTTTCAAATAACATAAAAGTGCTACTAGAAACTAATGGTACAGAGTTGCTATTTTTTTAATTTTTCATATTTGAATTAGTGACAATATATTGACTATCTAGCCTATTAACTTTAGCAATAGTTGTGATATCTGTAGGAGATTTTTAAATGCTCTTTTGCAGGCAAAATGTGAAAAAGAAATGAGGGCTGGTTGTAAAGTTGGCATATGAACCCTTCCAGAAGCTCTGATGTCTCACACACACCTTGAGAAGCTGACTGTTCTTCTCAACATGGGCAATTTGGAAGATGCAAACTCCTTGCTGCTGTCGCTTCTCATTTTGAAAGAACATTCCTGCCTCCGGTTAGTCTTCTCCTTGGAGGACCTCTGGCTGAACACTGCCTGCTCCTTCACCAACCTCGCCAGGGTCTCCTCATTCCTCCCGCAGGCCACCACAGCTAAATAAGAAGCACTTTTACCCTACAATCTGGACCCCGTGACCTGGACCCCAAGAAGCCCATGTTTATAGCTTCAAATGTATTTACCAAAAATACTAACATTACCTGGAACACTCACAGACAAACATTCTCATTCTTCCAGAGCAAACTCCACTAAAAAACTTCATTCCATTTTTAATGTTTTATAGGACACAATGAAGCATTTTCTAAAATTTTTAGCATTTACAGAGTACTCTATATTTATTAGAATAAACTCTCTTCCTTCTAAATGGCATAATAAAAATCTGATTTATGAATCAGCTTTCATATATCCTTTACTATGCTCCACTGTCCCACAATGAAGATCTCATTTTATTTAATTTCAGAGTCCAGCTTCCCTGGGTCAGTTCTTCCATATGTAAGTTTTAGCAAGAAAGCTTTATTCTTCCCTCCAATTTTAATTTTTGGTAAAATGTATAATGTGAATTTAGGTCACAGTGGTTTCAGTGTTTGTATTATTTCTATCAAGTCTAATTTTTCCCTGGCTTAATCTTTATAAAATCTTTAATGTTTCTAATTTGATGTGATTTTTTTAAATCTGTAAGACATCACTACGTGGTTTTAGCCACTTTCAGTTTTGTTTTGATTATTTCTAACAATCTACAGATTTGGTTCTCTCCTCTGTAAAACAAGAGTGATCATAAGAACAGTGCTTCTCTTGTGGGGTTATTGTGAGGGTTAAGCAGGCTCATGCATGTAAGCACTTAGCTCAGTGCCTAGCGCAGAGTTTGTACTTATTATTCAAGTTTTCAAACCTAACACAAAAGGCTCTTCATGATCTGCCCCCTCCTCCACAATCTCTCCCAACACATCTCCCTTCCCTTTCTCTCTGTTCCAGTGCCCTTCCCACTGCTTTGTTCTTATATGCCTTCATCCAGACTGAATCTTTTCCCTACACTTTGTACTCATCTGCCCTATCCCAGATCTTCCTTTAGTTAATTCCTGTGTTTCCTTCAAAATGCAATGCGACTCTCATGTAAGAATCCTTCTTGGTCTCCCTTTACCTAACTTGTTTGCCCCTTTGCCTTCCTCACCTTCTATCCCACCTTGAGGACATTAACAGCATCTTTTTTGTGTCTGCAATCTAAGTGCCCAATAAAGTTTAGTTGAATGAGTGAGTATGCTCAGACACCCTTTCTCTATGGAAATATCTTCATGTTCCACCAAAGTCCCTGCCTTCTTTTTTCTTCTTTTTCTGTCACTGAGTGTTCTGCCTACCACTGCCAAGTAAATTCACTCCATTCTACTCTCTTCGGATCATCACTATGTCTCAAAGGATAGTAGGCAAAATACACTTTTGGAGCGTTGCACTTGATCCCTTCGTCTTTGCAGACCTTTGCTGTTACTGTCAAAGAGGCAGTCTGGTCCAGTGAGCAAAGCTGTATCTCTTGATACCAGTCTAACTCAACTTCAGAGAACCTTAACCCTAGACCAGAGAAAAGCACTGTGACTTTTGCCTCCAAGTTTCCCCACCTACTAAACTGGGATACAGAGCCAAACCTACAAAATAGTATAATATGAATGAGAGAGTTTTATAGTGCAGAAGGTAATTTTTCATAGCATCAAGAGCCATCAAAATATCCAGGCCCAATGACAGAGGGCCCCATTATCAGAAATATATCTGACAGGAGGTGTTTACATCCTTTTTTTACCAGAATGTTCTCATAGATGACATATTCCTAGATTGTGAACTAAAACCTATTCAAGCTCAGGATGTGACTGGCATAAAATTTCTTTGCTACTCAACAAGCCACATTCCAGTGAAGAAAGGTATTAGGGGATGCATTTGAATTAAGCAAACAAGTCAGTATTTCACTTATTAATAAATGGGTGGTAAGTTCCACAGCCCATTACGACAAAGTAGTGTGTTGGGATTCCGGATAAGAACTTCTGTCCTTATGAAATAATTTAATAAAATGAATATATACATATGAGTTGGACCAGTGAGTAATACTGATACTAACAATATCAACTCTCTCCTCCATTCTTTCATTGCTCCTTCATGAAAATCCTGCAAGATGGGCTGGAGGGATTTACACCTCTGGTCTCCAGGTGGAGGCATGGGTTTACATTCATGCAAAATAAATTGAGAGCCAGCAGGACATGGATAGAGCACCTCTTGGGTGTCCGCCTGAACCACTGTTATCTGGCTCCAAGCCCTTTAGTCAAACTGTTCCAAAGATCCTGAGTGATTCAAATGGGGTGCCGGATGTGCACACACTTTGAGATATAGACCCCACTTGAAGGTGACGTGTCTTAAAGCATGCTGCTGGCTCCACCTCTGAGCCAGGACTAGTAAGAATGTCTTAGGTCCAAACACCAGCTTTCCTTTTATCCATTCCTACTAAGCAGCACTCAAGGATTTCTAGTCAGTCTTCATTTTCACACACCCAGCACAAGTATAAAACATAGCCATAACAAGGCAAAATAAATATTTATTAGGAATCAAGGCAATGGCACTAAAATAGTCTTACTCTTTTTATGATTTCTTTCTTGAACATAGAATTCACACACAAACATTAGGAACACATCTATAAATGAGAATTTTAAAAATCAGGAACATTCAATGAGAATAGGGTGACAATTCTGTACTTGGAACCAATCTCACAGTTAAAACATGTAAATCAATGTAGAAGTCAAGTATGGCTTACAGGCCCGGATAACCGCCCATCTACCTGGGCCCTGCCCAGAGCAAAAGGATACAGTTCCACCAGGCCTTGAGGAAGGAAAGGAATGTCAATAACACTGTACTCTCTCAGGCAGACGCCTTCTAAGAGCTTAATGACTTCACAGTACCACCTCGCACATCTTCTCCCACATCACAGGAAGGAAGATAAGCACATTTTTTTATTCTAAACAGTCCTGTGACATAATGTCTATAATAATGACATTATGTTATTAATGGAAAAGTTGAGCCAAAACAGCATTTGCAGCCAAAACCACTGTCTGAGTATGGGAGAGCTCATGCCTAAAAATAATCTCCCTCTATGTTTCTGAAATGTAAATTGTGGCGTTTTAATATGTTCTGATAGATCCAGAGGTTCAGTGAGGTGTACCCAAGTACAGTTTTGTGCACAGCTATAGGCACACTTGGATTTTAGAGCAGTCATAAGAATCGTGGGGATAATGCTGACTGCCAAATAAGTCATCTGAGCAACAGGTCAACCCCTTGGTATGCGCCAACCACAAAGATAAACTCAAATTTATAGAATAACTATGCTAAAAAAATAGTGCAGGGGGGGATATCTGTGGTCCAGGAGTCAAAACATTCTGGCCTCAACTGCCCTCACATGACTTTCTCCATGTTTTTAAATAAGTCTGTGTTCCTTTCAAAGCTTTAGTCTCCAAATATAAAATGAAAGAATTAGTCCTTTTGACTAGGATGCTTTTTGATTCACTGTTTCTCTCTGCCTTGGTAAATCTACGTAGGGTCAAGCTTTCTAGCCTTCGGGGAATGCCACTGTTGAGAAAAATATCCAGTATAGAAAATGGTCTTGCCAACAAATTCCATCCAGACCCACAGACAGAGGGCAGCTCTTCATGATATGTGAGAAGACAAAGATCCAGTTATTAATTTCTATTTGCCTAACCTCCCTGCTTTTATCCAAGTGGAAAATGGAGAGTCCTGTGGCTTTATCTGTTCATATCACAGTCAAAGCCATTCTGGCATTCCTGGCTACAAATTTCTGGCTACAGTGTAGTATATGGCACGTGGATCCAAATGGCTGCCCTTCAACCCAGGACTTCCGTTCAGGATAAATGTAAGGAGGTAATGCCGGCTAAGGAATGCTGACCCATACAATCCTTAGGCCAAAGAGGACCTTAAAATTCATTGTGTTACTTTCTTCATTAATATCTCACATAGGTGTTCAACCATCTTCTGCTTAAATATCTCCATTGTCTGGAGCAGCTGCAGACTGAGTTGAACCAAAATATTTCTCTAGTTCTTTCACTAGTTCTGCCCATCTAGAACGCATCTGACCCTTCTGCTCCCATGACACCTCCCTCAAATTTTCTCTGCTCACATCTGAACTTGGTCTAACCACAACACTCAGAGGACTAATGACTCTCTAGGAAGCTAAACATGCAAGGGCTGCCACAGACAAGGCTGTTCTCAGGACTGCGCCATCTCCCCAGCCTCACTTCAACCTGGCCTCAGGGACACACAGGCCAAGTTTCTACTCATCTAGCTAAGCTGACGTACAAAGCGGCTCAGCGCGGGGAAAGGGGCCCAGAGTGCACTGCTTGCTTGGCCTGGGCTCAGGTTTGCCTCAAGTCAGATTAACTCACCAGCTGCCAAGTCGTCTGAAGGCCCCTTTTCTTTCCGGACCACTTAAAATTAAAATTCACAGTGACTATCTCAATAATTATACCGCAAAATTTCCCACATGAATTCTTTCACTAAGATACCAAAGGATAGTAGCTGTTGTTTGTTTGTTTGTTTGTTTGTTTGGGCTCTAGAAAATTTCCTCTATCTTCACTTCGCCTCTGCCCCCAAACTGACTCTGTGGAATTTCACCAGGCAGAAAATCTCAGGAGAAGGATCTAAAAATAAACTTTTAAGGCTTGGCAAAAGTTTGTCTCTCACAAGCCTTTCCCTTCAGCTTCAAAGTTCACAGTTAACAAAAATGCTTGGTGCCAGAGCATGTCAGATATTTCGTTAAAATTCCCCTAATGAGAAATATTAATGTATATGAGTCACCTCTGAGATTAAGACCACATAAACAGGGTAGCTGCAATTTCTCTTTCAGATGAAGCCGCAGTCCCAGCTCAGAGGCCCACACTCTGGCAAGACGGGAGGAAGAAAGGAGCCAAGCCCTTTCACCCAGATGGCAGCCTACCTCCTGTGGACTTGCATGTGTGTGGAAAAGGCTGTCTGTCCTTGCTCTGCTCCCCACAAAGCTAAGTATATAATACTTACATCCAGCCCAAAAGCCCAAGATCTGCTTCTCAGCTTTTAAAACCACCTACTTCATCTGAAGTAATTGTCATTCAAAAGTGAAATGTCTTGGCTACTAAAAATTAAAAACCTGTGTAAATTACGCTACTAAAAATATCTCTCAGTTTGAGACAGTTTGAGCCTTGGGTTTCATTCCAAGGGTGATTTCCTGTTTTCTGAAGGTTCTGGAAGGGCATTTCCATAGCTCACACCCCTCTTCCCCCAGATATCCAGCTGAGCTCATAGTCCTCTGCACATCCTGGGGCGGGATCAAAATTCTCCCACAAATTCAGGAGACCCAGCACAACAGGGGAGACAGGGCAATCTGTGGGCTGGAGCTGGGCTGACAAGAAGACCCGGGCAAGAGGAAAGACCGCCTTCCCCTCTCCTGAGTCTCCTTCTCCAATGCCTGTCTCTCACAGTGAAGCCAATCTGAAACTGGTCAAACCAGGGATCTCAACTGGGACTTTAGGAAACTCCCGTGCTCAGGACTGTTGGCCATGGGTTTGCACTAATTCTGCTGAGTAACAGAACTCAAAGTGTTTCCCTCACAAACACTGACAGCCGCCTCTGGGTACAGCTGTCTGCTCAACATGAGGGTGTTGCCTGCTTCCAGATCACCACTCCGCACAGCCCCTCAGCACAGAGTTCAGGAAGGACTCCGCCTGCAGCATCAGACAGCTCACCCTCGCATCAGTTCTGAGTTCTGCTTCTACACCGAAGTTTCTGGAAACTCTTCTATTTCCTCAAATGCATTGAGAGTTGTTTTGCTGTTGCTCCTGGAAGAATCTTGGATTTTGTTTAAATCCACTTAAGAAAAAAAAAGAAAACAATTTTAGAAGTGCATCACTCTGCATTCTATGTTTCTACATATTTGTGTAATTTCTTTCTAGTGGTGGTGCTGAGATTGGAACCTGGACCTCACATAGAGTTAGCGCATGCTTTACTACTGAGCTACATCCCCAGGCCCTACCATTTAATGTTTAAAAGTTGTCCCAACTAGGATTATAAAATGTTTGAGCTGGAAGGTACCTAAGAACCAATTTAATTCAACACTCCCACTTCACAGATGGGGAAAATCAGGGCCCTCAGACTTGATTTGCACAAAGTCACATGGTCAAACAGGTACAGACCCCACAGTGCCTCACAACAACAGTACCTGTCCGTCTGATGGGCCCCGGATCTTCGTTGAGGAAGGATACATGTGTTTTCCATTCGGTCCACTTCACCTCATTGATCCTGCAAGTGTGATCACTGTTCTCACTACTTCACAGTTGAATCTCATTAAGCACAAACAAATGCTAGCACTGTATTCAGATGTCTTAGCTTCTACACAGCTCCCCTTCTGCCCCCCGCCCCAGAGATGGAACACTCCTGTCCTGCACAGTCACACAGAATCGTTAGGGTTTGAAACCTGTCCAACTCCTCATTTCCCACTTCAAAAGATCAATTCTTCCTCCACTGTAGGGGCAAGCTCAGATGTGACATAGTCCCATGCCCAGGGACCCAGACATCCTGAAATTTGCTCAGATAGGTGTAAAGGGTACATCTTCAGATGTCAGCAACTGCACCTGACTGGTGGGAGGGACCCATAGGGATGGATACAGGAAGGGCCCAGGCTGAGAAGCCATGAGGGTTAAATTAGTGGAAGTTCAGCCAGGACTAAAGAGGCACTGAGAGGTGTTTGGGGTTCATGCCCCAGTGGGAGCCGGCAGTGTCTGCAGTATTAAAGCACAGCTGGAAACACTGATTTAACTTAAGTTTACACTAAAGGACCATCTCTAGAGTAAAAGTATCCAAATCAGACATTTTTGTTAGAGTACACATTGCAGTCGGAAGTGATGGTTTCCAGGGGTGGGAACAACAGTCAGAAAAGGAGACTAAGACATTTTAGGTTATTCTCAAAAGAGAGCATCTGTAAGATTAGGTCTTTAGGTAGGAGGTAGGAAGAAATTAGTGCTTTTATGAGAAGATGTTTTGGGGTGGCCGA